ACAGTGTTTTGTAAGCTTACGTCATGTCGAGAATTCCGTAAAATATATTGTTCAAAATTTATCAATAGTTCAACCACACTGTGCTTCTTTTTTGAAATATATAGTAATCGTATTGTTATTAAAAAATTAAACTAATTTTGGATGGTTTTAAAATAGCGATTTGAAAAATCGCGGCATTATTTACGCAGAAAATAGCCGCTAGAGGGCTCTAACTCTTTTCGATATTTCAGCCAATGAGAAGGCCAGGATCGGTAAATTTTGTCTGAAAGGCCGTCGCAATAGGCTATGCGTACTGAGTCGTTTAGCCTAAAAAGTCCAGTACTAGTGCCACAAGGTACAAAAAGTCCAGTACTAGTGCCACAAGGTACAAAAAGTCCAGTACTAGTGCCACAAGGTACAAAAAGTCCAGTACTAGTGTCACAAGGTACAAAAAGTCCTGTACATTAGTGTCATAAGGTACAAAAAGTCCTGTACATTAGTGCCACCAGTGATAAAAGCAAAATATTTTTTACATGTAAAGGTGTAAAGATTTTGTATTTTTTACAAAAAAATTATGTATTGTATGTAAAGACGTGAAGAATATGTAAATTATTTGCCTTCCAAAGTTCTCATGGAATGACTATGAACTTTCACATGTTGTTATTGATGAGATCACCAACCTAACTCACCACTAACATACATAGATAGAACATTATACAACAAAGTATGAGAAAATTGGGTGTTAAACACTATATAAAGGACTTGATCAGCTGACTGACACATTGACAAACGTGTCTCTAGTCTCTATGACTTCTACACAGAACCTGTATACAGATAAACCATCTCCCTTGATTGGGCGATATATTGAATGACAAAGATTTCTGAAGCATACAATGGTGTTATAGTATTTTACACATTGTCTTATCACCTTTAAAACTTAGATCTGTGTGTACACATTGTACTTACAATATATTTCTTTATGTCTATGTCAATTCTAACACATACAATAAATGTTTATATATATATATATGTATATATATCTTCAATGCAAGAAATGAATACAAAAATTGAAAACAAAATAGCGAACTGAAACACAGTCACCCAAAATTTTTAACAAACCTTGGAATGTTTTTAAAATACATTGAGATTTCCCATCATTGATAGATGTGGTTAAAACACTGCTCAGTTCTAACCAAAATTTCAGCCTGTCAATTTTGACCTATAAAAAGTTAATGTATCACAAATTTTAAAACATTTTCAGCAGTGAAATGATTTTAATACTTTATAACATTAATATTCAACATAAATAAGAAGATCTATATGAACAATCAGCAAACATCCTATCATTGAATGTTACACAACACAAAGTCTAACCAACACAAACACTATAACAGTACTACTACAGCAAGAAGACAGCGCCAGTAAACACACTGATAATTCTGTAAACATGGCAATGAACAATGATATACACTGTATAGTCCCTTTGGGGTGTAATTTGTCCTTGAGATGTGTAAGTCAAGATCAAAATATTCACACTGTCAGACTAACATGTCATGCTTTCCTTACTTAAAATAAACAGATTATGTACATGTCCAAAACTTATTGTTTATATACTGAACATTACATCCTAGCCCTAAGGGTGTAAGAATTTACAAAGGGCCTGTTTCCAGTAATGTTAATTCTCCATAGGAGCCTGCCCCCGTATAATTTTTTATCTAGCTAAACTACTGGTTTTTTCTTTTCCGAAAAATAATTTTACACCTTTCCGACACCCAGATTTCATAATTTCAGTGAAAATGTATTTTTATAAAGTTGTCAATTTCAGCATCAAAGACATAAGTTCGTAAATAAAAGAAGGTTATCTCGAAATTGTAATTCGCAACATAGTATAAATTTCATTTGATAAATATTTCCAAAACATCGTGTTTATTCATAAAACATAAAAAAAAAATATTCTCGGATGAAAATGCACTTGCAGAGACAATTATGAAGAAAAATGCCATAAATTTGCAATTTTCTCACGTTATATAGTTTTGGATGCAAATTTCCATCAGTAAATCGGATAGAGCTTTACTTGTTTCATATGTGTACCAAAAATCAGCTAATTCCATGTGGTGGAACGTTCTCATATCGCCGCCTGAATGTGGTTGTAAATTGAAAGAAAAGGGGAAATTAGTAACAACCTTGTCTGAAACCCTATTATATAGCTTATCATATACAAACTTTTATATTGAATATCAGAGCGGATATTTTCATGACAGTTTTATGATGTGTAAAAAAAAAAAAAAATAAAGTACTGTTTCCCCGTCTCGATCTTGATCACTTGAGTACCATTACGTGTGGAACGTATCAGATATCTCTGGCTCCTGGTTACATCGCCGAACATTTAAGTGATGACGGCGAGTATGAGGTGTGGCTTTACCAGCACTCCCCAGACCTTCTCCGATGTCAAATACATTCTCGACACAAAAGCCAAACAAAATATAACGTTTGGATACGGTTCACCGTTTCACCCGATGTTGAGGCCCCAATAAAGGACTACTACTGCCAGTGCCCATTTGGAGAGAGAACGATGGGAATGTGTGTGCACATCTCCAGTATCTTGTACTACCTTGGGTATTACAGGACGCTGGAAAACCCTCGACCATTACAACCACAGGTAAAGAAATTCCGATAAAACTTGAAATAGTTTTCCATGTGGCAACAGAGTGCATATGTCGAAAGTATGTTTGGGGCTCGATATGAAAGATCCCCGTTACCATGTGACTAACCAAACTTATAAATATAGGTATTATACAATCGCCGGTAGCTATGAACAATCCCGTAAATGCGAAAACCAACCAAAATCATAAGGAACCCGTTTTGTTTGTTGTTCTGTCTATTTGTCAGGCAATGTCTTCAACCACAGGGACTTGCGAAGTAGCCATCTTGGATTTTTTTATGACAAAGTGTTTCTTTCACTTTTTTTCATATCTGTGTACATATTCTCAACATACCAAGCAAATACTCTCGTTTTTTTGTTAATTATCTAAAGAAAGTCGAAAAATTCAACCCAACATTTGAAAATGTTCCACCACTTACATTTTGATGATTTTTTCCTCTTATCAATAGCATATTACCTACTATTTAATAGGATAAAATTGGTTTGCATCCAACGCCCATAAAAGGGTTTATTCTCTCAAAAAACACAGTTTTTGTGTCTAAAATGTTATCATCGAAAATGGCATTTTTGAGATTGTTTCTTCCATAAAACAGCCAAATGGCGCGATGGAAACACGATTTTTTGTCACAATCATGCCATAAATGTATTCTTTACGGTGACTATCATTTGATTAGATTTTCATTAATATTTTACATAACATGCACATTTTATCAACACTTAGACAGCTTCTGAAAGGTACAACTTTGAGGAGCCATAAAAAACAAACCAAGTGACCTAAATCTTTATACTTTATAGATTTGTGATCACAACGGCATGGGCAATGCACCACCAACAGGAAATTTGAATCAGAGAAGGGGCTGTTTTGGAAACTGGCCCTTTACAAGCATCCCTCCATCCACTTACCCATCTACCCATACCTCCATCCACTTACCCACCTACCCATCTACCCATCCCTCCATCCACTTACCCACCTACCCATCTACCCATCCCTCCATCCACTTACACACCTACCCATCTAACCATCCCTCCATCCACATACCCACCTACCCATCTACCCATCCCTCCATCCACTTACCCACCTACCCATCTACCCATCCCTCCATCCACTTACCCACCTACCCATCTACCCATCCCTCCATCCACTTACCCACCTACCCATCTACCCATCCCTCCATCCACTTACCCACCTACCCATCTACCCATCCCTCCATCCACTTACCCACCTACCCATCCCTCCATCCACTTACCCACCTACCCATCTACCCATCCCTCCATCCACTTACCCACCTACCCATCTACCCATCCCTCCATCCACTTACCCACCTACCCATCTACCCATCCCTCCATCCACTTACCCACCTACCCATCTACCCATCCCTCCATCCACTTACCCACCTACCCATCTACCCATCCCTCCATCCACTTACCCACCTACCCATCTACCCATCCCTCCATCCACTTACCCACCTACCCATCTACCCATCCCTCCATCCACTTACCCACCTACCCATCTACCCATCCCTCCATCCACTTACCCACCTACCCATCTACCCATCCCTCCATCCACTTACCCACCTACCCATCTACCCATCCCTCCATCCACTTACCCACCTACCCATCTACCCATCCCTCCATCCACTTACCCACCTACCCATCTACCCATCCCTCCATCCACTTACCCACCTACCCATCTACCCATCCCTCCATCCACTTACCCACCTACCCATCTACCCATCCCTCCATCCACTTACCCACCTACCCATCTACCCATCCATTCACCTACCCATCCATTCACCCATCAATCTACCCATCTACCCATCCCTCCATCCACTTACCCACCTACCCATCTACCCATCCCTCCACTTGTGTCCACTTACACACAGTTTTGGCCTACCCAAAATCAAAATTTGGGAAGGATTTGTTTTTACATAAGTAATCATGTCATTTGTTCCATGGTTAATCTGGTTAATGTCCAGGAAATGATAACAGGTCATTTAGTCAGGTCATAATATTCACCCATCAATCTATTCACCCACCCACCCATCATCTAAGCAGTTAATTTTATTCTAGCTGATCGAGTATGATAAAGATATAGAAGGTTGAAATTACAGTCAAATGAACCCTTTCTGACCCTGTCCCTACTTGTGTGAGGACCATGTAATATAATATAAAACTTTAGTTCACACAGTTTTGGCTATAAAGATTCCTGCAAAATTTTAACAAAATTTGGGAAGGATTTGTTTTTACATAAGTAATCATGTCATTTGTTGACAGCTGATGGTTAATGCTGGTTAATGTGAGGAGGAAGGAATGATAACAGGTCATTTAGTCAAGGTCATAATATTTGCATGCACTTTACCTCTTGTATCGCTTTGCCAGTTCCTCGGAAGTCGTGCCAGCCTTGGTGGGTGTCGACCGACGGTTGAGGCCAGGGGTATAAAACAGCGTACCTGGGTATAAGGACGTCATGGTTGAGATTTGATCTCAAAGACACCTAAAATGGAAAACAATGTACACATCATGATCACAAACATCAATACAAAACAATCAGAAGGATGACATCACATACACAGTTTTTGTTCATGTTAACTGGAATTAGTACATTGTCTGTAGGCTGCCACTGTGGTCATATGAAGGTCATATGATGGTCATGACAAGGTCATATAGTGGAAATAGTACATTGTCTGTAGGCTGCCACTGTGGTCATATGAAGGTCATATGAAGGTCATGACAAGGTCATATAGTGGAAATAGTACATTGTCTGTAGGCTGCCACTGATATGATAATGACATGGTGAAATGATCTTGAGGTCATGTTAGAATTCAGATGAGGTCATGATGGGGCTAGTGATTCAAAGTGAGGTCGTTATAATGTTAAGATCATCAAGGTCATGGTGAGGTCATGATGTGGTCATGATGAGGTCATGATGAGGTCTTCTGGCGGACATGCTGAGATTTTGCTGAAGTAGATAAACTGTTGTCACCATCTACTGTGTCTCTCGAGTCTCTGTGATCTACAGCAATCTTATCCAGCTCAGTAAACATGTGATTTACATTAGCAATAACACTGATCAACAGACATGTGCAGATGTGTAATTAATCTGCCTTTTGTGCCCTCAGGACATTTATCTTCATCATTACGATCTAATTTATCAATACAAAGTCATCATCTTAATGGTTTATGTAAAAAATGGTTTCCAGAACAGCCAACAAAACACAAATCTAATACAAGAATCTGAAAGTAATGAATTGTGTATAATTTTGTATGAAGAGAAAATCTCACAATGGTGTATTGCAAATGGAACAGTTAAATACTACATAGATTTTCATCTTATTATAAGGTTGAATATTCCTCTTTTATAAATAAGTGGTCCGTAGAATTTGTGTCAAGTCCCTGTGTTCTTCCCCTCCCCATCCTCCTCCAAAACAAGAAACAACACTTACTTTATCCTGGTAAGTAACTACAGATAGATGTCATTAAGGAGTTTATTGGAAGGGGAATGGTGTAGTTCTATGATTGTTGATGTCCATTGTAACATCACATACAGCTGTACTGGTATAGATATGTACCCCTATCACAGTAAACCTGTCTCCACTCGTCATTTCGGTATACCCAAACAAAAGATTATGTTTACTGTGATCAAATGAAACCTGTATATGTCTTGATCTTATTGATTTGGAGTCTACACCTAACACTTATTCCATCCTCATAACAACCAGAAAATAAAAACATTTCCCTCACATGACAAAGTGATATAATAATTTATACCTCTCCTAGTTTTAAGTGTTGAAAAAAATCTCATATAAACTTATCATTTGTTAGGTAGTACAGGTATGATTCAGTAATGTCGCCTATAGATACCAGCAAGGTATTATTAAAATACCAACCAGTACCAGAAAACCCAAGTACTTAAGTCACCTAGGAAGCATTGTCCTACCATATATCTAGTGTTAAGACAGTAATACACGAACAGGAGCTAGAAAGGTGTCATTAGAATAGTGTGATATGTGTACACATTCCGTCATTTATTTACATTTACAGAACCTATAGCCTGAATAGGTACAAAACCGTTCACAACAGCATAATATCTTCATTAACTTCAAACAATGAGACACATAGGTACCATCCTATATTTAGTCTGTTCAACTGTTCTAACTGACACCCTGTCACACAAAACACCAGTATCACCTTACATCCTGTCACACAAAACACCTGTATCACCTTACATCCTGTCACACAAAACACCAGTATCACCTTACATCCTGTCACACAAAACACCAGTATCACCTAACATCCTTTCACACAAAACACCTGTATCACCAGACATCCTGTCACACAAAACACCTGTATCACTTTACATCCTGTCACACAAAAACACTTTACATCCTGTCACACAAAACACCTGTATCACCTGACATCCTGTCACACAAAACACCTGTATCACTTTACATCCTGTCACACAAAACACCTGTATCACCTAACATCCTGTCACACAAAACACCTGTATCACCTTACATCCTGTCACACAAAACACCAGTATCACCTTACATCCTGTCACACAAAACACCAGTATCACCTAACATCCTTTCACACAAAACACCTGTATCACCAGACATCCTGTCACACAAAACACCTGTATCACTTTACATCCTGTCACACAAAAACACTTTACATCCTGTCACACAAAACACCTGTATCACTCAACATCCTGTCACACAAAACACCTGTATCACCTAACATCCTGTCACACAAAACACCTGTATCACTTTACATCCTGTCACACAAAACACCTGTATCACCTGACATCCTGTCACACAAAACACCTGTATCACTTTACATCCTGTCACACAAAACACCTGTATCACCTGACATCCTGTCACACAAAACACCTGTATCACTTTACATCCTGTCACACAAAACACTTGTATCACCTGACATCGTATCACTCAACATCCTGTCACACAAAACACCTGTATCACTCAACATCCTGTCACACAAAACACCTGTATCACCTGACATCCTCCTGTCACACAAAACACCTGTATCACCTTACATCCTGTCACACAAAACACCTGTATCACCTTACATCCTGTCACACAAAACACCAGTATCACCTTACATCCTGTCACACAAAACACCAGTATCACCTAACATCCTTTCACACAAAACACCTGTATCACCAGACATCCTGTCACACAAAACACCTGTATCACTTTACATCCTGTCACACAAAAACACTTTACATCCTGTCACACAAAACACCTGTATCACCTAACATCCTGTCACACAAAACACCTGTATCACTTTACATCCTGTCACACAAAACACCTGTATCACCTGACATCCTGTCACACAAAACACCTGTATCACTTTACATCCTGTCACACAAAACACCTGTATCACCTGACATCCTGTCACACAAAACACCTGTATCACTTTACATCCTGTCACACAAAACACTTGTATCACCTGACATCGTGTCACACAAAACACCTGTATCACTCAACATCCTGTCACACAAAACACCTGTATCACTCAACATCCTGTCACACAAAACACCTGTATCACCTGACATCCTCCTGTCACACAAAACACCTGTATCACCTTACATCCTGTCACACAAAACACCTGTATCACCTTACATCCTGTCACACAAAACACCAGTATCACCTTACATCCTGTCACACAAAACACCAGTATCACCTAACATCCTTTCACACAAAACACCTGTATCACCAGACATCCTGTCACACAAAACACCTGTATCACTTTACATCCTGTCACACAAAAACACTTTACATCCTGTCACACAAAACACCTGTATCACCTAACATCCTGTCACACAAAACACCTGTATCACTTTACATCCTGTCACACAAAACACCTGTATCACCTGACATCCTGTCACACAAAACACCTGTATCACTTTACATCCTGTCACACAAAACACCTGTATCACCTGACATCCTGTCACACAAAACACCTGTATCACTTTACATCCTGTCACACAAAACACTTGTATCACCTGACATCGTGTCACACAAAACACCTGTATCACTCAACATCCTGTCACACAAAACACCTGTATCACCTGACATCCTCCTGTCACACAAAACATCTGTATCACCTGACATCCTGTCACACAAAACACCTGTATCACCTGACATCCGGTCACACAAGACACCTGTGTCACCTGACATCATATTACACAAAACACAATTTTCACGTGTATCCTATAAAACACCTATATCACCCTACGTGTTCCACTGTTTTTACACGGCGCCTGTTTAATCCGACTTCTATAATCGATTATATAAACGTTGACTTTTCCTGAACACGGGAAGGACATCGTCCATATATGTGTCATAATTCATGCATATTTAACGAGTCGACACTGAATCAGCGTGTGAGTGTGTGGTTTGTTTATAATTAACTTAGGACGTCCGAATCCATCAGACCATAGAAGTCTATCACAGGAACACCTATCATAAATCTGGAGTCAAGAAAACAAATCTGTTCGTCCTAGTTGTTTATAGTCTACCCTTATGTATGTTACATATAAAAATGCGTTGTTACAACATACCTCAAACTTTTCCCTCGATAGTCCTGGGATTGTGTGAATTATATATCAGTGTTCCTCTGATATGGCACCACAGTGGGGGCCGCCATTTTCAAACGTCCCTACTCTCCATGGTTGCGAGTCGTACAATAGACCGCACTCGGAACAAACCGAACCGGGACAATTTAAACTTGTATAACTATTTTTGTCTGTCATTTAAACATTATACACGTAGATAGCTCCATGTTCAAACACAGACAATAGAAAGCATGACTGAATCAATTGCACAGTATGCGCTTATATTCTTACCATGAAGACTTTTAAAACATTCCGCTAACGTCAAGGTAAAACTCTTTTGAAAATGTTATCGATCGCCCTCATACCCAATCAATTCTTTAAGTCTACAAAGGTTATTATCCCACACTAATCCACAACAGATTACCCCACACATATTTTTTCCTGTAGTAAAATCCCCCCAACAAAAAAAAATACAGTTATTTCCGTTGTAGTATATATTATGATAGAATCATACGGTTGTTTGATAAAACTGACATCGAACCTATTGTTTGTATTTAAGTTTATATATATTTGTAATTGGTGAACCACGGACTATTTGGGCTCCGTTATAACGGTCAAAGGTAATTATTTCATCTAGGAAGGCCCAAATGCGTATACACATCTGGAAAGAGAATTCTATAGAAACCTGACAATGATTCTACAAAATATCTGACATTAACGAAATGTGTTAAATATTACAATAGTTTTGTTACATGTCCTACAATGTTAACAATAGTTAAGTCATGCATTTATCAACTAAAGTCAACTTATTGACCTACAAACAAAACCCCTCCAGACCATTACATCTTCAATCAAGACACCATCATACTGTTACTCACCGGTGTGAATCTCC